GTTTCTAGTACGAAGAGCAGTATAATAGTTTTTTTGGTACAACAACAGCCTCACAGAAAATCCAAATTATAAACAAAATAATAAGCAAAAGAATATGCTTGAGCAATCTCTTTGATTATTCGATCAATGCTAAATTTTAACTCAAATAGTTTGGCAAACTCATGAGAGAGATGTTTGAGAAGGCATAATTATATCTGTTGAAGATATCTCAAGTAATTTAGATAAAATTTATAAAGTTGATAATAATAACTTTAAAAAGTATAATAAAAATAATTCACAAGACAGTACTTACGGGGCCCATATTTATGTGATCCGTGAATACTACAAATATATAAATTAAAATTAAAATACCATAAAAATAAAAAAAAACTTACGTACAGTAAAACCTCTATAAGTGCACCCTCTATAAGTACATACACTCTCTAAGTGCACGCTCAAGTTCTGGCCCAAATATATACATGCTCTCTATAAGTACACTTTCTCTTATTGATCTCTGAGTGCACATTGTTAAAGTTTAGTCCTAAGAGCGTACATTTATAGAGGTTTTACTGTAATTCACTCATCAGTATACTATCGAATAAATGTAATACACCCACTTATAAAGCTAAAATTTGAAAAAAAACATTACGTTTTACCAACAAAATTAGACCCGAGTATAAGCAACCTTTTCACTTTATTCTAATAAAAAAGTAAGACTATTTAAAAAGCGTAGAACTTCAATCAACCAATAACAGATAAGTATACTAGCAAAGCTTAACTTTTTTTAGTTCTCATTTACTTTTCTTGGAAGCATTGATTTTCATTGATTTTTTATTGATTATAAAACCTTGCGTTCTATACTTTTCAAATATATCATTATAAGTCATAGTCAAAAATCGTTAAATATCACAAACTTTTAGCCAAAAAGTGTGACCGTAAGCTAATAAAAATTTAGAGATCATTCTAGAATCGATCTAGAACACAAAATATGATCTACCCAAATTTGGAAATATCCTCAACTGAACTTTATTGATATATTTTTTTGTACATTGATCATTGATCGGCAGTGGTCACGAATCATTAGTCTGATTGTGACAATTTGTCACGGTTTTTTATCACATTCCAGCAAAAGTTTCATTTTTGATAGATCAGGTATTACTTTTTTTGATATATCGATATGTCTATAATTATTTATTTATAGATGCATCAAAAAGATAATCATTTTGTCACATGAAAATTTGATATATCAAAAAAATAACTATAGATCTATCAAAAACAAAATCTTTGCCACATTCTATGATCTAGATATTTACCTGTTTGCCTGTGAAATAAATCAAATAAATCAATAAATCTTTATCTCGTCTTTCGAACAACAATCAATTAGATGGATTGAAGTTTTTGCTTAGTTAGTGCCTGCAACAGAAAAAAATAGCTACTGTTAAGCAATGAAGATGCGTTTGTGACAGAGGAAGACTATCGGAAGCCAGTAATGGCAAGTCATCGTGTAGGGATGGCTGGTTAATCTAATTGTTCAGAAGTTATTAAGTTGGTAATCAACATAAAGTGTCTGCGACAGAGGGAGACTGTCAAAAGCCAGTAATAGCAAGTCATCGTATAGGGGTGGCCGGCCTTATTTTGAAGAGCAACTAATTTTTACTGTTTACTGCATTTACTTCATTTCGCAAGATATTGATTTTTTTCTATTTCGTAAGCTTACTATGGAAAAAGGAAATGTTAATATAACCTTACAAGAACGTCACGTTAACTGGATATTAACTTGTCTCAATCCAACTCCGCTTGCATTTTTCTAATATATATTTTCAACGCATCGAATTAAAGCTTCTGAAAAATACTATACAACGCTTAATTCGGCTTTGAGTGAAACTGATAACCAGAAAATCCTGAGTAAGCTCAAAAAAATGAAAAAAATGGTGGATGTAAGTTACTTAATGTCGGGGATGATGCTGAAATCGGATGATGCTGAAATTTGGGGACCTTAATTTGAAAATATCAACCCTACTAAAGTCCACCTATACTCTTTTATTATAAATACTAACCCTAAATTCTAATCGAACTATGAAAAAAAAGCTAAACAAAATACCCAAAAAAAATTTTACATTTTCATAATAAAATAAGTCAAAATTTCAGCATCATCTGATTTCAGCATCATCTCCGACACTTAATAATATTTTTTGTATTATATTGTAAAATATAATACTAAACTTCTTTTGGATAGGAAAAAAAGATGATGGGAGACTGGGAATCCTGGATGCAACAGAAAACAGCGGTATGTTCAGTTTTTAGTTTTTTAGATAGTTGATCTAGCATTGATAAAATTCTGCATCACGTAGATTCTTGTTCGTCGTAATGTACATAGTACCAATCTTAATCTTCATCAAGAAACACGCTGTCACTAAACAAGATAAGGTTATTACTCTTCAGAAATAACTAAAGGGCTTGCCATAAATATTAAACGATTGTGGAAATTTTTATTATAGGACGAATCATTGGCAAAAAATACCAACTTAGATATAAGTGAAGAAGAAGATCAAGAAGATCAAGAAGAGAAGAATATAAATGAAATCGAAGAATTTTTTATAAACAAGGGTAATGACGACAAGGTTTATAAAGATGGTATCGACAATAGTGACAGTGATAATAACTTCATAGAACGTAGAAAAGAAAACCAACTAACTACTCATCGATCGTGGGTTCTCAAAAGTGGTACCAACGTTGGAGACGAATTAGCAAAATATATTAAGGCAATTCCTAAGGCTCATAAATGTTTGAAGTAAAGTTTTTTGAATTGGCAAAGGTCATAAAAGTTAGTGATGATTATATTTAATCTTAGAATTTCTTTATAATGAAATTTTTTTAAAGTGATATATAATGATTATAATTAGCTTAATCGATTATAATTAATTAATTTTAATCGATTGTAATCGTTTGAGAACTAATCAATTATAAATGATTATAGATATATATTGATTTTAATTGGAAATAATTGATAATATAAAAAAATCGATTAAAATCGATAGTTTACAAAATTCGTAAATTTTAGTTAAAACTTAGAGCTGAGTTTTTCGATAATCAGTGATTAGAATTGGTTCAAATTTTTACTACACATAATATCGATATCAGTCTAAAACATATTAAAATATTAGCAAATTTGAACTAGTAGTTCTTGAGTAATTGTTTGTATACAATAGTCAATTTTTTTAAAAAACCAATTATCGTATACAAACAATTACTCAAGAACTACCAGTTAAAATTTGCTGATATTTTAATATATTTTAGACAAATATCGATATTATATGCTCTAAAAATTTGAGCCAATTTTAATTATTGGTTATCGAGAAACTCAGGCCTAAAGTTTAACTAAAATTTACGAATTTTGATTATAATCAATATTCTATTTATGCTTGTATATTACAGTATTAGATTCATTAATGGAATCTCCTGAGTTACAAATTTTATATCTAGCCAAATCAAATTTGACATATCTTGAATATATCTAGCCAAATTTGGCGTATTTGATGAGAAGTGACTTGGAGCACCATATATAAAAATACAGATTTTTAAAAATTTTTTATATAGTCTAGGGGGGTCAAGAGCTACTATGTAGAAGTACATAATGTTATTTATAGATGTCCTTCTATCACTTAATACTATAGCTGCACTGATATTTATACCAAAACTTTGATCGAAGATATTTCGGCAACCACTTAACCAAAATCGATAAATTTTTCTTTATTTGAATTCTACAAATCTGTAGAATTCAAATAAAAAAAAGGTCATTAATTTTGGTCAAGTAGTTGCCAAGATATCTTCAATCAAAGTTTTGGTATAAATATCAGCACAGCTATAATATTAAGTGATATAGATATTTTAAAATTTTCTAAAACTTTGATCGAAGATATTTTGGCAAACACTTAACCAAATCAATGAATTTTTTTTATTTGAATCTTACAGATCTATAAAATTCAAATAAAAAAAAAATTCATCGATTTTGGTCAAGTAATTGCTAAAATATCTTCGATCAAAGTTTTGGTATAAATATCGACACAGCTATAGTGATATAGATATTTTAAATTTTTCCAAAACTTTGATTGAAGATATCTCAGAAACTACTTGACCAAAATTGATGAACTTTTTTTATTTAAATTCTACAAATCTGTAGAATTCAAATAAAAAAAGTTTATTGATTTTGGTTAAGTGGTTGCTGAGATATTTTCAATCAAAGTTTTAAATATTTATAAACAATAAAGTGATAAAATCGAGGTGATCTTTAGTATAACCATGGTGCAAATAGCAAAAAAGCATGGTGCGAATAGCAATTCTCTATTATAATTATCTTAATATTTTAAAAAAATAAAAGTTATTATCATAACTAATACTAAAATTTGAAGTCTTAATTTGAAAATAAAAATATTACTAAAATTTATATATATACTTTAATTATTAACTTTAACTATAAATTTTAACTTAACTTTAAAAAAAATAAACAAAATCACTTCAAAACTATTTTAAATTTTCATAATAAAATAGGTTCAAATTTTAGTATCAACTATGATAATTATTTATATATACCTTTTTAAAAACTAATTTTAATTTTCTTTAAATATTTAATAATTAAGAAACAAGTTTGTTAAATAATATTACTAGATTAAATAAATTAAGCTGTAGAGTTGGGCCCTGTAGCTTATTGGTTAAGCTCCCAAACCCCCACAGACAAGGTTAACGATTCAAGTCGAGCTAGCAGCAAATTGTAAAAATTTGTTACTATAACCTTATAAAGCCATAATTAAATGCGAAGCCTTGTGGAAAGTCCAAGTGCAAGTACAGATTTAGAATAGGAATTCCCAGAAAGAGCCCTGATTATGAAGTACAGGCACTATGTATAATAGTGGTGTTACAGAAGGTCTAGGTTGTAAAAGATTACACAAGTAAGTCCTCTGGTTGGGGTAACTAAAGAAGCAGTACCAATATCTCAGCACTTCTATATCTGGCAATACCAACATCCCTGCACCCAACTTGTGGATACTTGCTTGGAAGGATGATCAATAGATTGTGTGTATAAGTCCTAATATAGAATAGTGCTGGGTACTTGCTTGAAAGAGTAATACAATACTACTAGAACTGGAATAGTGAGAGAAGTGGTGAATATGTGAAAGGGCTGTGGTAAAGGATTGGCCTTATCTAAATTAGAAGCATCTCTGGCACTGTGGAGCAGCTAACTAAAGAAAGTAATTTTATAGAGGCAGGCTAACTAATCCAGTATGTTTAAAGACACCAAGTTGAAGCTCTAGTCATATCTATATAGAAGTCTATAATGAAAAAAGCCAGAATATACTAATAATAATGCAACACCAACCAATAGATAAGAGTCCAAGTTGGAAGTTAAGGTGAATTGGGGTACGCCTTCTAGTAACATAACGCAAGACCTACGGTTGGAAGTAGAGCTGCTTGCTACTTAAGTTAGATCATTAAAGCAGCATTACAAAATATGGTTCTGGTAATACACTATATGAAGTACAAATAGGTTAGTTGGTATCACTATATCAGAAAAAGAACTTTAAGTCCTGGGGTGGCAAACCAGCGGCAGTAGCAGAAACTTGGCTTGAAATACAGGTTAGTAGTACCTGGGCTGATAAGTGAGAAAGTTAGGTTAATTTTAATCTGTCAATGGAATACCAACTTGGTCATGTAGCGAACTTAACTAGGCAGCAAAATTCTGGCTTGAGATACGGGCTGTAGAAAAGCTACCTGCACCAATTACAGTTGCACTAATAGGATCCGTAAAGAGATTTGTAGTGGATCATGTTAGCAGGTACACCAAATTGGGAGCTCATTAGAAGCAAATACCTAATACTACCAAATTGAAAGTTATGACTAGTATGGTAAGATATAGGAAGAATATGTAGTTGCTAGAAATAGTTAGTTGAGAAGTGTAAAGCTAGATGAATCATGTGTGGGGCATAGAATATTTTAGTAGGTTTAGATCATAGATAAATTAGTCTAAGTCTCTGTAGTTCGTAAGTTAATATATATATTCTTGTAACCACCAAAGCTATATGTTAATAAAAACCAAAAGCATAACCTTACCTTAATATGTAAAAATAAAAAAATAAAAAAATAAAATAAATAAATTAAACTGTATATAATACAAATATTTATTATAACTTCTTAAAAGCTTTAATATTTTATTTAATTTAAGTTTATAAGTTTTATAAAATAAGGGTGTGGCGACTTAGTGAAGTGGTGAAGTTGTCGCACCCCCAAGCGGTTGAGTACAAGTTCAATTCTCACTGGAGACGAAAATTG